GCTGGACTTTGCCGCCTCTGCTGCAGGTTAGTTTTTATTTTTAGTTTTTCTCCTTTGTTTTTTCTTTTCTTTTTTCTTTTTCCACAACTACCGATTCCACCGATTCTTTTCTTTTTTATTTTCCAGACCCGCCTCAGTTTCTCTCTTCTCTTTTTATCTTTTCTTTTTTCTTCTTTTTTCTTTTTGAAAATAATTTATATGAAGTAACTGTTGTTTATTTTTAGTTTTTCATAATTACAAAAAAGAGCTTAAAATAGTTTTTTCTTTAATATGAGAATTATTTTTCTGTTTTTTTCTTTAATTTTTCTTATTTTTTTTCAGTTTTTTCCCTTTACTTGTTTTTCTTTGAGAATTAATTTTTTCTTTTTCTGCTGTTCAATTAACTACTGCTGTTTAATTAATTGTTGTTGTTCAATGAACTGTTATATATGCATTTACATATGAAGATCTCATTAGAAAATAGGAATACAAATATACAATATGAATATACAAATTACATATTCAATGAATGAATTATGGATATTTATTTTGGTAGCTGTGTTGGAAAATTTGATTGATTCTTCATCCTTGCTCATTGCTACTTAACTCAAGTATAATCTGTAAAAAAGAAAAACAAAGTCAATGAGCAACAACTTAGTAATTAGTATAATTAGAAAAAAGAGCTTAAAATAGATAATTAGCATGCTAACTAATAAATTATGAACGTGTAAATATTTAATTGTTAATCACTTAATTGTTACTTAAAAAACATATTTCATTTTTAATTAAAACACATATTTCTTGTATCTTATTTGTTACTTTAAAATTTTAGTTAGCACAATTTGATGATTTAAGTTGATATTCTCATAATTTTTGGTGTAAGTGACTAATAAACTTGAATATGTCTTCATCGGCATCGGCGAGTGCGAATTGTGGTAGAAGACAAGATCCGACTTGGAAGTACACTTCTCTAGTTGAGGAAGGGAATTCCAACAAGCACAAGTGCATTTATTGTAATAAGATCACCAATGGCGGTATATCAAGGCAAAAGGAGCATCTTATTGGAACGATGAGGAAACGTAAAAATGTTTCCCTTTGCAATAAAGTTCCTTCGAATGTGGTTGATGAGCTTAAGGAATATGACAAAAACAAGCAATTATTAGAAAACAAGCAGTGAAAAATTACATGCCGGATCTTGAAGATGATGACATGGTTGAAATAGATGAAGTTGACGAGGTTGAAGAACAACATGGTTGAAATAGATGAAGTTGACGAGGTTGAAGAACAAGCACAAGCAACTAGGAACAAGGGAAAGGAGCAATTGACTTCTACTTCTAAATCATCTTCCTTATCTACAAGAGGAAGGGGAAGTGTGGGATCTTCAACAAAGAGGAAGGGGCCTATAGATTCATTTCTCTCATTTGACCCGGAACTGGAGGTAGCCAAAGATGATAGAAGGTGAAAATTGCGGTAAACAAGCATTGAAGAAGGCCTCAACAAAGATACAGTATCTAAAATGCATCAAGATATTGCCCGTTGGTGGTATCAAGCGGGAATTCCTATTAATGTCGTACAACTTAGGTCCTTTAGAATTATGTTGAAGTCAGTGGAGGCTTTTGGGCTTAACTTGCCACCTCCAACATTCCATCAATTACGAGAGCCATTGCTTAAGAAGGAGAAGAAGTACACTGAAGATCTCATGCAACCTCATAAGGAGGTTTGGGCCAAAAAAGGATGCTCTTTTACGTCGGATGGTTGGACTGATCGGAAGGAAAGGACTTTGATAAATTTTCTTGTGAACTCTCCTCACGGAACAGTATTTCTTTCCTCTATTGATGCTTCCGATGAGATCAAGACTGGTGCGAGGATGTTTGAGATCTTAAATGAGGAGATTAAGAAGATAGGGTCAGAGAATGTTGTGCAAATTGTGACGGATAATCATGCTAGTCTCAAATTAGCCGGTATGGAATTTTAGATTTGATTTAAGTTGTTTGATATTGATTGATGTGCTTTCTAATTTCTTTAAAATTGAATGATTGAATACTAATGAGATGTTTGTTTATTGGTTCTAGGTAAACACTTGATGGATGAATATCCTCATATGTACTGGACACCGTGTGCTGCTCATTGTCTCAATCTCATACTTAAGGATATCGGAAAACTACCATTCGTGAAGATGACCTTGAGTCGTGCTATGGAGTTGACGGGTTTCATTTATTCACAAGGTTGGGTTTTGAGGTTGATGAGAGATCAAATCAATGCTCAAGAGCTTCTTAGACCGACGGAAACGCGGTTTGCCACTTTATTTTTGACTTTATCAAGCATCCATAAGCAGAAGAATAATCTAAGGAAGATGTTTTGCTCCGAAAAATGAGTGGAAAGCAAGTGGGCAAGAGATCCAAAGGGCAAAGCGGCGGAGAGGACAGTTAAAATGACTAACTTTTGGAATAATGTTATTCGTGTTCTCAAGCTCACGGGTCCTCTTGTTCGTGTTTTGAAGCTTGTTGATAACGAGAGGAAGCCGGCCATGGGGTTTATTTATGAGGCTATGGATAGAGCCAAAGAGGCTATTGCAAAAGCCTTTGGTGATGATGCTAGCAAATATTCGGAGGTATTTAAGATGATTGATAAGAGATGGAATGTTCAGTTACATCATCCTTTGCATGCTGCAGGGTTTTACCTTAATCCAATTTTTTCTATGCCCACCCTAACATTCAAGCCGATAAGGAGATCATGAAAGGCCTCTGGGAAATCATTCAAAAGCTTGTGCCACAACAGGATCAAGATAAAATTTCTCAAGAGTTTGTTAGACCCTAGAGGGGGGTGATTAGGGTCTTATGCTAATCTAATCCCGATTAAATATCAATTAAAATTATATTGATTAATTTGTTCTTGCAAGTTGCAAGAATTATATGAGATAGATATGAACAAGAATGATATGAATAAGTACAAATAAAATATACTCTAAGCA